TCATGAGAGCCACATATTGGATAGTAAAAATTGATCCTTTGAATCATTAAAATAAAAAAAATTGTTCCAGGAAAAGCATTTCGAGATTGCAGACCAAATCTTCAAAATTCTGGGACTCATTGAAATAACTTGGAGGCATACAAAAATATTCAAGATGTTGAACTTTGAAAAAAATCCAATAAAATGCATGGTATCTTAAAATTCTAAAGAGAACTCTATGAGAATTGTGAGAAGAAATACAAGTGAATTCTAACGATAATTTATATGGCATTCTGAAGAGAATTAAATATGTGTAATACCTACGTAACACAATCCTCTTGACGGCGTCGGTGGTTGAGTGGTAAGCTTGACTGGGTTCAAATGGCAGCCGAGGTTGTTGGGATTCTTCTGAGGCCAAACAACGTAATGGTTACTTGACTCGCTAATGCAAAAAGTGCAATATAATGCTGATATAGGATATGAGTAGTTTTTTAAAAGAATTCCAAGAAAATATACAAGGGAATAATCTTACGAAGATGGTTAAAACAAACTAGAATGATTCCAGGATAATCGAATAACATTGAATTTTTTGGATGATTTCTGAGTAGCAATTTAAAAGAATCTCTGAGAGCTTTCCTAGATAATTTAACAAAGAATTAAAGGAGTATTTTGAAAACAATTTAAAGAATGTTCTGGATAAACTCATTAGAATTGTTAAAGGAGAGTTTCCAGAAATTTCTGCCCAAGGAAATTCTGAGGAGAAATTCAGGGGAATTTGCTACAATACTTAGAATACTTTTTTGTAAAATTTTGAAGAAAACTCAAAGCTCTGAAGACAGTGGTTTACAGTAGAGTCGGTGTATAATGAGTCACGCCAAGAGTGAAGCCAAGTCTACCTATTGAGCTGTCAAACCGGCTACCTATCGTGCAGAGTAAACAAACATTACGATGCTATGAAAGGTCCACGAAAGGTATTGCAATAAAATATAAAATATAATCGAAGAAATGATCATAAACTCGCAGTGAGCAATAAATTGTCATGGGATACGTTTGGCAATGATCACTTATGAGAATTTCTACTATTTTTGGTTGAGATAATTTGACTAAATCACTGATATAATGATTTACTACAGCCGCTATTTTTTTCTCGCTAGAAGTCATTTGAAGTTTATGTAGAAGTCCTCTGTTGCCAAGTGAAAAGAAAGGGAATCTTTCGAAAACCGTGATGCGAGTTCAACTGTTTTTCTCTTGGCGTGACTCATTATACACCGACTCTAGTTTACAGAATGTAATAGGCCCATGCATTAATTATGTCACGCTAAATCTTCAAGTCCTAAAATTTAAATTTTTGTTAGTTCAGCTTTATTATATAAACTTTCAGCACCTTGCTTAATCTTTTTTTTTTTATCTTTTTATTTGTCGAGAGTTTATGAACTGCAGTCTTAGGGACCGTCAATTAATTATGTTACACTTTTAGGGGGAGGGTTTGGAAACTGTGACAAGCCATACAAAAAAAATTAAGATCCATACAAAAAGTTTGACAAAGGGGGGAGGGGGGTTGAAAATGGGCCAAATTTGCGTGACATAATTAATAGGCTATTGTCTCGGTTGTGCTCTCTCCATATAATACATAATATTGACCGACGACTCGAGCTATGATGCTCACTAGGTCACTGTAGCCTTTCAGCTTGTACTGTGATTAGGGTCGGGTGGGGCAAGAGTGCCACCTTAACAATGGTACGTTCTATATATGCACATAATATATGCCAAATAGTGGATATTTATAGAAGTTTCTACACCGCATTGCAACTTCATATCATTGCCTTCATACATCAGCAATGTAATGCAATTTATATCTCGTCAAAAGTTGTTTACGATTTTTTCAAAATGTCATCTCAAATCTTTTTTTGAAACTGCAATGGGGCAAGAGTACCAACCCCTATGGGGCAAAAGGGCCATGCCTCTTAAATTGAGTGAAATCGATTAATGCTTGTTTATAAACATAGCCTTTTGATTATTAATCATACCAGCAACAGCTGTTATTGTTTACTTAATTTAACTATTGAATTTTACAATATTATTCAATACATAACAAATGAACTTTGTATACCATTGAAATCAAATGAAAACTATTGTTGTTGATGTTTTATGTAGCTGGTTTTGTCAAATTTGGTGAAAACAAGCTCACCGAAGACTTAAATGGGCAATGAAGCAATTTATTTAACATGTTTGCATAATTTTATTCATAAATATAGGGGTGGCAGTATTGCCCCGTGAGAGCCCGCATAAGTGCAAACCATAAATTGACCTTACCTAAAATGGTTAAAATTGTTTATAATCCCTGCTAAACTTCAACTGAAATGGTTATGGAACTTTACATGAACGTTTAATGATAAAGTTTTAACCTTAAGTATTATAGTTTTTTGGAAATGGACCTTACAAATAATGGGTTGTTAAGAACCATTACCATTCAAAATTCTTGTTTTCTCCATACATTTTCGGAAAGAAAACTATACTAAAACCTTTTAACTTATGGTTTGAGAACATTAATGGTAATGGTTATGGTAACCAGTAAGGTCCATGAATGGTTTTGTAACATCGGTCAACTTTATGTGGAATATATCGCGAATTGGTTGCCTGTAAATTACTGATTACCAATTCACGATATATTTCACGTAAAGTTGAGCGATAATACAAAACCATTAATGGACCTTACTGACTACCATAACCATAACCATTAATGTTCTCAAACCATAAGTAAAAACGTTCTAATATAGTTCTCTTTCCGAAAATGTATAGAGAAAACAAGAATTTGGAATGGTAATGGTTCTTAACAACCCATTATTTGTAAGGTCCGCTTCCAAAAAACCATAATACATAAGGTTAAAACTTTATCACACAAACGTTCATGTAAAGTTCCATAACCATTTCAGTTGAAGTTTAGCAGGGATTATAAACAATTTATAACCATTATCGGTAAGGTCATGTGATGGTTCGCATTTATGCGGGAGGTTCATTTTTAAGAAAATTATTTTTGACTTATTATATGTAATATTTGTATATTCTTTGTTATTGTTATTCATTATGCAGGAATTGTAGAAAACAATGTTTGTAAATTCCAAAACCCTTATTTTATTATGTCTAATTATTATAAGTAATTTCGATTTTTGACACATCATTACAAAATGACTTTATAGCGGCGCCGGTGGTGTAGTGGTAAGCGTGATTGCCTCTCACCCCAGCAGGCCTGGGTTCAATCCCAGTCGGCGCCGCCGGGATGTTCTGAGGCATAACATCTCTGATCACGTCTTCCTTCGGAAGGGAAGTAAAGCCGTTGGTCCCCGGTTCATGAGTTGATGGGTCGATAGGTAGGGTCCAGGTGTGGGAGCTGCCTCTCTGGCGTCGGTAGCATTGGTGCTCAGCACGGAAAACAAAATCGACGGAAAACAAATCAAGGAAAAAAAAAATTACAAAATGATTTTTTGCAATTTTTGTTATAGTTCATTTTGGACAGAACTTTCTATAATGCTGCATAGGAACACCATTCATAGTTGCATGGGTAAATTTGCATTGAAAACATGTTTATTTTCAAAATTATGGTTCGTTCGAATTACGGTTCGCAAGAAAATGGCCTTACAAGGTTTGTTTACAAAATGGATTTATGGCCATTTCAATTCAGGCACGAACCAAAGTACGCTCACGCAAACCAACAACATCATCGGATAGGGGTAACTATCACCTTTCCGAAAGTGGTATTGGTTTGCGTGGGCGTACTTTGGTTCACCTGTAAAGGGCCTTAGAAAGTATGTTTACAAATGCTTTTGTGCCGTTATCAAATGTTATGCCTGAATTGTTGGTCTTGATTTGCAAGCTTGGCAGAGAAGTCAAGCTGAACATTGCATTAGGTCCTAAGGCTGTGTTCCATTTGGTGAATGTTCACTTAAATTTGACAGATGGAAAATTTTCAAATAAACCTGCTATTGTACCAGACTTATTTCTGACAGACAAGGAATCAATTTTGACAAACACCTTCTCGAAAATAGAAAGATCAACAGCAGAGGGATTTTCGAACATCTTAATTTATTTTCGAATTGTCAAATTTAAGTGAAAATTCACCAAATGGAACACTTTCTAAGGCTGTGTTCCATTTGGTGAATTTTTACTTAAATTTGACAGATGGAAAATTTTCAAATAAACCTGCTATTCCAGCAGACTTATTTCTGACAGACAAGGAATAAATTTTGACAGACGCTTTCTCGAAAATCGGCCGATCAACAACAGAGGGATTTTCGAACATCTTAATTTATTTTCGAAGTGTCAAATCTAAGTGAAAATTTTCCAAATGGAACACAGCCTAAGTAACATTGATCGATTCTCTTCGTCGACTTTCTCATACATATTCGTTATCTGCATTAAAAATTGTACCGAAATCCTAAATTTCATCAATTTTGGTACACTGGAACTATTTTAAATAAGCATGATTACATTAGCAAAAAAATCACCATATTAGCGCCCCTATGGGAGCGAGCTGTCAACGAATAGATTTAGTGTCAACGATCAAAAATTTAAATCTTGATTTAAAAATCTAGATGAATGTCTAATGTTGTGCTGAGAAACTGAAGCTCTATCATATGATGTATAAAAACCGGTATATTTTACTTATGTTACTAATTTTAACATTCATTCGTACCACATTCAGGCTGTAAATGCAAAAATAATAATTAATAAACGATCAATAACAACTTATTATAATTAATTATGGTAATTACTAGCTGAAATTGAATTGTATTCTAACCTAATACTCTAATTGTTCAATTTTAGTTCTTTAAATAGATTCTAGTAAATTGAACCAGTCTCCTAGTAGGTAATTGAAGAAACCTAAATAGCTGCAGTCATTAAATTTCTTATTTTTATTTTATTTTTTGTCCGAATGCATTCTATTCTTGGAGCAACGTCAGATCTATTCCGTGACGTTTCCCAGCAGCACATGTTTACTGTTCACATTATTTAATGTTGAATCAAAACAAATGTATGATGATATTTTCGAACCACAACCAGTCTTCACGCCATTATTCGAGTGTATAGTGATCGAACATTAGAGTATTCATCCTGGACAAATTCAATTTGGAGTGATATGAACTTACTGTAGCGAAGAGAGGCGAACGGTAAGTAGATCTACTGTTCCTTCAAAACTTCACATATGTGTAGTTCTGCGCATATGAAAAACTTTCAGGTAACATATTGTCAACGATGTATGTCATGTTCGAGTTTTCAAGCATTTGTTTCACGCATACGCAGAGCGATGAACATATTAGTACCATTTTGCAGGCTGACATGTAAACGTCAGTCTTTTTGGTTTCTGAAAAAGATTGAAAGTTTGTTTTGTGCATAGTTGAATAAGTTTTTAGAATCAACATAGCAATGAATCCTTCATTCCCCGTACATCAACCAAATCTCTACAATATTATGCCACCACAGCTACCACATTTGCAGCAGCTACCACAGGTCCCACTCCAAGTTCCACAAACTCCATCAACCCCGGGAAGTACAAGCACAACACCCTCTCCTTTGACCAAAGCCCAACGCCGCATGCTGGGGGAAAGTGAAGCTGCCAGAGCCAAACGTCTAGCTAAAAACGCTGAACGAATGAGACAAAAACGAGCTACGGAGACATACGAGGAATATAAGGTACGGCTGTCCAAAAACGCTGAAGCCAACCGAAAGCGGAGACAAAATGAATCAGAAGCGGAGCGTGCCTTGCGTCATATGCGGAATGCAATGAGACAGAGACTGAGAAGAGCTATGGAAACCCCTGACCAGAAGTCAGTCCGGAAATCCAAATTGGCACATCGTATGCGTGAAATACGGTCCACCGAAACATCGGATCAAAGGAAGGTTAGACTGGAAAAAGCTGCTGCTCGAGCCCGACATAAATTCCTAACTGAGAGTTCCGAAGAGAGAATGGAACGAAACAGAAAAAAGGCTGAATACGCACGGCTATTCCGTAATAACAAACAGCAGACCGAAACAAGTCCAGTTCAGGATTTAACGCCTATCAAAAATCCTCCTACAAATCCACACGAAATTAAAGCAGAACAACCTCCGGCGAATTCCGCCAACACAACGCACCACGTACCAATACCGCAGAATAATTCCGAGCCTTCGCAAGCTTGCAGGGAACAACCGTATCCTCCCACAAAAAACTATCCAATTAATTATCATGAGTTCGGTGCAGCGTTTCCTACGTTCTTCAATTATCCTCATCTGAAAAATGGCCAGCAAGGTGCATACAGTCCGGTATATCCCTCGCAAACCTACTACCCGGAGCTATCCGTTCCATCACATTATGTAAAAAATGATCGATCAGCGTTTCCTGCGCAAAAACCTCCGGAATGTGTACAGCCTCAGCATCAGAATCAACTGAAAGGGAGTGCACAAAAGAACTGATCAGGTAATTAGAGTAGGTACCTACCTATAATTACATTTCCTTACACTACAGTCGATTATGTTTACCACTCGACATTTTCAAAAGTTCGATTTCGTATTCATCTACAAGTTGATGTAGGGGGACAGTTGGCCACCTTAAGGTTCAATTTACTTTGATGCTTTTTCGAAAAATTCAAGAGCAGTTTTTTTCAACGCATTAGTTCAGATTGCAAAATGCTCGCACTATTCGATTCCTTTTGCTATTCTACACAAAATGACGCGAGCTTTTAGCAATCGGAAATCATGCGTCGAAAAAAACTGCTTTTGAATTTTTCGAAAATGCATCAAAGTAAATTGAACCTTAAGAAAGCTAATGTTTGGTATGTATATTCAGTGAAAAAATACGAATAATTTTCAACCGTCATTTACATCATGAATATAAATTGATTATAAAAACTGAACTTTTGACTCGTATGAAAAAAGATTAAAAAATGATCGTTTTGTAAACGAAATACCGTGTGGTGCCCGTTTACGGATTGACCTCCATTCACCGCTCATTTTGTAGAAATTTGTTGAAAAAGTTCCCAAAATGAATTCTAAACATGCATTTTACCGGCTAATTTACTCGTTTAAGATGCCTGCTGATCATATTTAACCATCGGCACTTATATTTCATTGTTTATTCCGAAAAAATGGTTTAGGGGAACTAGGAGCAAGAAGGTCATCCTAACGAAAGTGCGTTGTTATACGCGATTCCGTGAATTTTTACAGGAGTTTATGCACCGAATTGTAAATTTATAACCTTGTCTCCATTAAAATTAAAATTAAACCCCACAAAACATGTTAATGATTTTTTCAAATGTCATGTCGTACCTGTTCTAAAAAATGTTATGGGGCAAATAGGCCAAAGTTCTAAAATGAAGAGAAACTGATAAATGTTCATTTATAAACAACAAATTAAGATTCTAGTATGCCAGCAACTGCTTTTATTGTTTATTCCACAAAAATATTGACTTAACGATATTTTTTATCCAAAACATATAAATAATGTGCGTCAATGAATTCAAATGGAAACTATGTTTGATATATATTGGAAACGTAAATGCCCCTTTGTGCTAATTTCTGAACATTTTTATACAATTTTAAGCATAAATGTAGGGGTTGCACTCTTGCCTCGCATAAAGTTAATTTTTAGGAACATAATTTTTGATCAATTAAAGAAAATATTTAATAATTTATTGTTATTATTGTTTCAATCAACCATCAATAGTGACGTCTCAATGCAGAAATTCTTTTCAAAACATTACCACAAAGTGATTTTTTGCATTTATTTTTTTTTATTTTGGTTAGATAGAATTGAAATGTTTTCATTTTCAAGATCAGGAAGGGATCGGGTGCTACTCAATTTTTTGCGAGTAAAACACACGCTGTTGCGAGACTGCACTTTCATTTCCTAAGAGACGTGAAAGAGCATTTTAAATCGTGCAACACATTTCATTCTTCTTGTGAAGAGTTGCCGCTCTTTCTCTCTCTCTCTCTCTCTTTGTTTCTCCGACATTGTACTTTCTCTAGAACTGTAGCGTTGTAGGATAGCTAGCATCAGTGCTGTTAATTTTCATATCATTCGATTGAAGATGTACCAATACAACTATTCAATCGATTCTGTGAAAAAGAATTCTCTCGTGCCCATCATTTGAAGAGCCCCTTTCTCATTCGAACCTCATCGTGACTGTCAATGGAGTATAGAAAAAAAAACCCAGCAAAATGGTCCCGAACAGACATGTCGACCTGATGTCGGATCAATGTAAGGTAGATGTCGGGTTGATATTGGGTCAATTTTGGTCACTTTCATACACACAATGCACCCTTCACTCCGTGAGGCTCAGTTGTTCACTCAGCATAAATAGAAAATCGCTCAACATGCGCAACACTGCTGGAACTCAGTCACTGAGAAGTTGGACAAGTTGTATACAATACCAAAAGTGCTAAGAGGAAGAGGTGACAATTGGCTTCTTACTCTTTAATTTCTATCTCTATCTCTATCTTTATCTATGTCTATCTCTATCTTACGCACATCAAATCAGCCAATCACGAGCTGATTGACACCTCTTCTCTTAGCAAAAATGTGTCACTCACTTCCAAGCGTAAATGTTAGCGTCGTTGATGTTCTTTTCCTGGCGCTCACTATGGAACAAAAGGAAAGACAAAATGGTGAGAAAACCACTTGATGAAAAGATTTTCGAACACAAAAAATCGAAGCGATTCAAAATGGTGTCCTACAGAAAAAAAACTCTTTTCTCTAAAAATTTCTAGAGAAAATTTGCAGGGATTTTTTTGCCGAAGCACAAGTTTTTTTTTTGTTTTTTTTTGTGGTGTCAAGAAAAAATGAAACTGTAAAACAAATTCAACCACTTGACAGACAGTACAAACATAGAGGTAACTCTAAGGCCAGAAGGTCCCGAAGAACCGAGCTCAACTTTTTGGCTTAGCTCTGGTACTATCTTCGGTCCCAAGCTAATCGATGCACCCCTGAAAACATAGGAAAATCCACGGACCCCTAATTTTATCTGTCACACTTTCATAGCGAATCAAAACAAACATAGTGTAGTACTAGAATTTCGACTAGAATGGGGAACGTTAATCGATTTGCTTGGGACCAATAGGCTAGTCAATACCCGCATAAACAATAACCATAAGAAGCGCCTAACCACCAATTCGGGATATCATCCCAACTTTATGCGGTATGGTCGTACCATCTATGATATCGTAATTGTATGGTACCCGTTTATTAGGGTAGAGTGATGCAAAATTTGAAATTTTCGCTCCACAATACTTAAACGATTCCAAATCGGATCCTGACTAACCTCTCAAAATTTGAACCCATTTGGTGAGAAACTGAGATGGCACAAACCATTTGAAGTTTGTATGGGAATTACTATGGTAAAACCAAGATTTTTGTTCATGTCTATCTAATAATTCATCATATCGGTCTGCTTCAAAAGCTTTCAACTGAACTTGTAGGAAATTTTCCCTCCTACAACTTTGCTCAAAACCACTTTTTGATTAAATGTAAAGGATCGAAAGTTATCAATGGTTCAATGCGCTGATGTCTTATGATCATGCTCAATCAACTGCTCAGCAGGCAACATTGGTGTTTCTGGGGCGTTGAATAGGACACAACTATCATGGCTACTATGTCACACTGCAAACTACAGTGTTGCCTACAGAGCAGCTGCTTGATCTTGTCATAAGTTTACCAATCTCTTAAATAATTAATAACTTTTTGCTCTCTCGTTTTACATAGAAACGATCTTCAGCAAAGTTGTAGCTGAAAATTTTCTATAAGAATGGCTATCGAACTGTTTCGCAGCTTAATATGGAAAAATACTAGAAGGCAATGAACAAAAAGTTGAGATTTCCCATAGTAATTTACATGTAAACATCAAATGGCTTGTGCGAAGTCTGTTCATAACCAAATGAATTGTAACTTTGGGAGGCTAATCAGGACCAGATTTGAAACCATTTAAGCACTGTGGAGCGAAAAAGTCAAATTTTGCATCAGTCTACTAGTCAAGTAGTGAGCCAATTTAAAATCGTTAGTTTCCACCGGTTGGTACAAACGTGTTCAAATCTAAGATCTAATTCTCGCCACTAAGTACGTTTGTCTACCATTCAAGGGTGAGAACAAAATCACGGCAAAACAATTTACGATAGGCCGTCTGCACGCAATCAATATTTTTTCTTGAATTTCTCACTAAAAAAAAACTTACACACGCGACTGTGAAGTAAAAAAAACCTTAATTTTAAAATTTATCCTCGTTGCCACTATTATAACAGAGTTTTCAAACATACGACAGAAATAATAATAATTATGTTTCTATGTTCGTAGTCAAAGTACTAAAGACCCATATATTTAACCTATTCATGTACAACACTAAAAACTCTGCTACTCTCTCATTTATGGCAGTCCCTCTCTGGGGTGACTGTACATCTTACCGAACTATCGAAAAGGCTTTGCCTGTTCACCACTACAGGAACAAACGTCTCGGGGCGCGATCTGGGGCGCGGTAAAACCAACAATCAATACGAAACTAACGATTTTAAATTGGCTCACTACTTGACTAGCCTATTAGTCCCAAGCAAATCGATTAACGTACCCCATTCTAGTCGAGATTCTAGTACTACACTATGTTTTTTTTATTCGCTATGAAAGTTTGACAGATAAAATGAGGGGTTCGTGGATTTTCCTATGTTTCGAGGGGTACATCGATTAGTTTGGGACCGAAGATAGTACCAAAGTTGAGCTCGTTTCTTCGGGACCTTCTGGTCTTAGAGTTACCTCTATGGTAAAAACCCTATATTGGACTCATATGTGTGGGATGGGATCTATTCCTAAAGAAAATAAGGACAATGATGGACGTACATGGGAATACACAAATTCAAATGCAATGACTAAATTCAAATTGAAAAACTTTTTACAAACATTTAAATAGATAAATAAACCTAAACAAATTCCCATGTACGAGAGTTAGTGGTGGGCCATCATCATCATCTCATAAACGTGTATAGGTAGTGTTGATGTACCTATGTGTGTTGTGTTTTCAGGTATGGTGTTTGTCCTTAGGGATGTTTGTTATGTATGCAATGGTTTTTCTCTAAGTCTAACTACTGTGTTACCTGACTTATAACGAATATACTGTCCATAAAAGTATAACTGTCCCATACGAATAGGAAATCAAGCAAAGATATGACAAATATGCTTTTATGGGCAGTATCCGTTGTATACAACACTGAGGCAAATAGACTTAAGAATTTCATAAGACTCGACTTATGAACGACAAATATGAATTTCATAAGCGCGACTTATGAAAGATTTTCCTCTAACATAACGTAGCTCTTATACGCTTTTAGCCATTCCATTTTCTTAAGCATTGAAAGACGAGTGATCAACACACGAGCTCCGTAATCTCAACGTTCATGGTTCGGTTCCAGTCTGCTCCGGTTTATTATTTTTTGGTCAACATTATTTTTCATAAGGCAAATCAATGAAATTCATACTGATTTCTTGTGGCTAAAATTCATAAGTGTTTCTTATGGAATTCTTACGTTCTTTTGCCTGCGTGAAGGATTGTGCTACATTTCCCCGAATGTCGTTTCCTCGAATGTCACTTCCCCGAACGCCATTTCCCCGAATACCCATTTTACCGAATGCCGTTTCCCCGAATGTGCCATTTCCCCGAATGCCATATCCCCGAAAAAAAAGTTAGGAAATTTCCAACCCTTATTGCTGGCAATTTTCTTACTATATTTTGAGCATAGTGAGCAGATTTGCAAACCAGCTGAAATTTCAAACCAGATACCATATCAGGCATAACATTTGATAACGGCACAAAAGCATTTGTAAACAAACTTTCTAAGGCCCTTTACACGCGAACCAAAGTATGCCCACGCAAACCAATACCACTTTCAGAAAGGTTATAGTTGCCCCTATCCGATGATGTTGTTGGTTTGCGTGGGTGTACTTTGGTTCGTGTGTAAAGGGCCTTAGAAAGTTTGTTTACAAATGCTTTTGTGCCGTTATCAAATGTTATGTCTGATATGGTACTTTTCTATTAGGGTTGACAAATTGATAATATATTTTTAGAATATTTACCTTTCATTTTTGAATTGATATCGTAAAATTTGGCAAAATATCGTCGGTTTGACAAATTGGTTATAAATTTTAAGGAGATTTTGCCTTCTTTTATTTACCAGCAGTTGTTTGGAAAAACATGTGAGATCGATGGTTTGACAAATTGTTAAAATATTCCTACTTTTTTACATAAGCAGTTCTTTCGGGAAATTTAGCAAAACTTGTTTCGGAAATTATTGCAATTAAATGTCAACAGGTGACAGTAATAAACAGAAGTTATGGCGATTTGTTTTGTACGCAGAAAACCGGAAAATGTTTATTTTATTAAATTAGAGCCTTTTTCTTGGCCCTTTCAAAAAAAAAATATTGGTACAGAAGGTGGCTTATATTATGGCGCAACACCCCTACCAAATATTTTTTCTCGTTTCGCCTCCACAAACGATAATTTAATAAAAATACTGAAATCTGCATAAATTATTTTTCGGTTTAACTTTTCGTCCATAGAAGATGGCGCTATGCTGTCAGTAGTTGTGAGTGTAAAACTCACAGCATTCCTCGATTCATTTGTCAAATCATATATCTCACAAGTTTTGCCAAATTCCTCGATTTGAATTAAAAAAAAAGAAAAAATCTCGTAAAACTATGTTATCAATTTTTAAATCCATCGACCTCACATATTGTCTAAGTTCTCGGAAGAACTGCTCGTTTATAAAAGAAGGAAAAATTTCCTCAAAATATATTACCAATTTGTCAAACCGTCAATCTCACAACTTTTGAGGAAGTTTTCGAAAAAAAACATTTATAAAAGAAGGAAAAAATGCGGCCTACGGCTGAAAATCTCCTAAATAAATTTAAAAAGAAGGCAAAATCTCCTAAAAAATATATTAGCAATCTGTCAAATCATCGATGTTAGTTTTGCCAAAGTTCTCGAAAAAACTGCTCATGTATAAAAGAAGGGAAAATCTCCTAAAAATATATCACCAATTTTTACACTTCCACTATCTTTACAAAGGATTTATTAGATTTACAAATTGTAGAGCCTAATATGCCTTTTTGGTGAATAAACAGCTCGGTCCATGAGTTTGATGGGTCGATAGGTAGGGTCCAGGTATGGAAGCTGCCTCCCTGGCTGGCGTCGGTAGCATTGGTACTCAGTACGGAAAACAAGATCGACAGAAAACAAATCAAGGAAAAAAAACCTGTTAAGAATCTTAAAACTTAAGATTTTTTTGATTAATTTAAAATTAAAACTTATTGATCATTAATCTACTTCATTTGATTCAATAAGTTAGTATAAGTAGGTGGGAATAACTAGGATGTTTCTTGAAATTATAAATGAAAACAACATTTATTCTATAACTCGATGGTCTATTAACTATCAAGTTATGGCGTGTTGGCTGTAATAAGAACTTTATTTTAGTAAGACGTAGAATCACAATATTATTTTTCCTCTTCAAACTTTTCAGATTCCATAATGCCATCAACTATTACCACGCTACATACTTATGATACTGTATATTCCGCTGATTCTGTAGAATGGTGCCCTCACAATCCGTATCAGCAGTTATTTGTCTGTGGAACATATCAACTAGACGACAAAGCAGAATCTATATCGAACAATACGAGCCAAACTGTTCGCAAAGGTCGGATATTGGTATTCGACTTTGATTTAGAACAGAATTTATTAACGAAAAAGCAAGAAATTGAAACATCAGCAATCTTAGATCAAAAATGGAATCCATCGAAAGCCAACTTGTCCACGGTGAACGCCAGCGGCGAAATTGTAGAGTTCAAGTTATCTTCAGAGGGAGTATTGATCGAAATTGATAAGCTAAAGATTCCAAATGACAGCGAAGGCGAACAGTTGGCTCTCTCGATTGATTGGTCTTCAGGTGGCGACGTGGCAGCGGTTAGCGACTCGAAGGGAGGAATTTCTCTAATAAGCATCGAGCCACATGGAATGCAATGTCAAAACCGCTGGAACGCCCATTCTTTTGAAGCTTGGGTATGTGCCTTTGACAAAACAGATCGGAATGTATTATACACAGGTTTGTAGTTAGTTTGATGTAATCGTAAAATAAATACTTAATTCCTATTTGTTTTCGCAGGTGGAGACGATATTCTCCTGTGCATCTACGATATTCGATGCTCGGATGCTCCTTCAGTTAAATTGAAGAACAAGTCTCATGGGGCAGGTGTAACGTCCTTACTGTCAGTCCAACATAAAGAGCATCTCTTGGTTACTGGCAGTTACGACGACTGCATAAGAATATTCGATACAAGGTCTATGAAATGCTGCATCAACGAAAAAAATCTTTGTGGTGGAGTTTGGCGATTGAAACAAAATCCTAGTGAACCCGATCAGATACTGTGCGCTTGCATGTATCACAACTTCAGTGTTGTTTCGTTGAGCAGCGATCACAGCATTTCGCTGGATGCGGATTACTATGAACATGGCAGCATTTGCTACGGATGTGACTGGAAATACGGATTAAATAAGGGTGAAGCCAAATATTTTGCATCTTGTTCATTTTATGATCACAAAATGTGTTTGGCTGTTCTTAAGTCAGAGAAATAAAAACGTAGTGCAAATACTGTAATCACGGTAGCAGTTAGTTATTAACCGACAAATGTCCATTGCCTTATATTATTTTGGTTGTTTCATTCCAACATTTGTAGTTACAATTTATCTCACATAGTCGGGCAGTTTTGAGACAACCTCCTGTGGTGGTGTCTTGTTGACCTAAAATATTCTTTCTTTTGGTATCATTAGGGTGATAAGGTATCCACGTTGAAAATTTCAGATCCTTCTTTAATTTTGAGCGAAACAAAAATTACTAAAGAAATGAGTAAAACCACACATTTCCACGCGAACAATAAAATGCACGATCTTAATAGATTCGTTGCACTGTTGTGGCTCCGTAAACTGTGAGTGGTAGAAAACGTTATTAAATAATCCCGAGGCCAAGGGTTATTGAGGTAATTGCACATTCTCAATCCAATTAAATAATGGAACAGACATTCAAAATTTATCAATGTTGGTTTATGTACTGGAACTATTTTTAACAAGTGAAAATGTTGCAAAAACAAATCCCTCGTAGCGCAAGCCTGATGTGTTTCAAATACAGTGGTGGCCAGTTCAAATGGATATATTTTTGACTCAGGGCCTAATATATTTTTGATATTGTTTCAAATATATTATTCGGTTAATTCAAAGAAAAATATTTTTGAATCAACAAACCGGTTGTAGAGTCAATAATCTGTTTGTTGATTCTAAAAACCATTTTGTTGATTCAAAAACATGTTTTGTTGAAATAGTTATACAATATGTTTGAATCAATAACAAAATACATTAGGCCCTGAAACAAAAATCCATTCTCTGCGTGTATTATTGGAAGCGCTTGCTGGAAATTGACGGGCTGGTTGAAAATGGACAATAAAATAGGACATTTATAATTCGAAATTTCAGAAGTGTTATGTTTTAAAATGTTCACCCATATTGCCAATAAACGACGGCGTGCTTAAGAAAGTTATTTACGATATGGTAAAAAATTTCCGAAATAATAGACTTCGGAATTTTCGAATTATAAATGTATACATTTTCGAAGGGTTACTTTTCAAATTAATTACGAAGAAAATTGAAGCGCTTTCTCAAGAGCGAGAATTATTGAGAATACTAAGATAATTGTAGAGTAAATTTGAAGAGTTTCTTGGAAAAGATTTTTAAAGTGGTTATGGTAAAAAAATTCAAGGGAATGCTAAAGATAATCAATGAGAATAATAAGTAATCCTGAAAGCAACTCAGACGACATCTTGTGTTTATTCCAAGGAAATTCCTGTTGGTAATAAGAGTGTGCCCTCTCGATCTTTTTCACGTTTTACAGCTTTGCTGATGCAGCCAACTACGATGAGTGCAGCGACCGACATCAGCCATTTCGTAGGCTGATGCAATTCATTCGTTACTGTACTACCGGAAGAGAAAGACGTTCAATAAAGTTTCTTTTAAGTTATTCATTAAACCACGTGCGTTAAGTTATTCTTTTATAGAATCTACAATAATCTTCTAGAAATCTAGAAATTATCTAGTTAATTTGAACATTGCAAAACCAAAGAAATTTAAGATTCAGGATAGAGTTCAAAATCTCACCCCGGACAAGTCACGAATGACCCAAGCGCGTCAAAGTGACTATAATTTAAAAAAAAAGATTCAGGATTTGGTAAAACTTTGAGGTCATCTGCATATGATAACCGAGGCCCTTCGGTGACCAGATGCACAGCGTTGAAGTACAGTAGAAAAATCAACGGTGCCAGTTGACTTCCCTCCCTGATGGTGACCTGATGTGGCGAAGAAGCTAGTTGATCTGCAATCTCCAAGGGCAACCATTAGTTGGCGACCAGAGCTGCAGAGGTGTCAAGTCACAAATCTCAGTCGTCTCACCGAAGTAAAACATCCCAGAGATCGAAGCAAGAAATACAGCTAAGACTTCAGCTGTTAGAAGAGGACCAGCGTCTTCGTTTGAAGCACTTAGAAGAAGAAGCAGTTATGAAGTGGGCTTACGACCAGGAAGAAAGAGCTCGACTGAGGCGAACGGAAGAAGCTATGAAGCTATATAAAACTATGGCTTAACTGGACAGGCAACGTTAGTCGAGAGGAGAGAGGTTCGAAGCGGTTGGCAATCGTCATCGCTGGGCGAGACACGAAACATCGTTTTCAACTAAGCAACGTGCGAACCGTTCAGAAGCTCAATCTACCTGATCAAACGCTCCAATACGATGTGTTAGGTGACATATCCTCATCTCGGGGGTCTACTGGTGCAGAGTTACTCAGGAGCAGTACCGGGATTATCATTGGATTCGAGCACGGTCGGTTGCTTTCCACACTGAAGATTCGTGAAAGCAGAAATGATGATCCGGTAGCAGCAAAGACAAGGCTGGGCTATTGCTTTTTGACAGGCAGTCAGGTGTGGGCAAGTCACCTGCATCACCATTCCGAAGGAGAGATGGGGAATCGAGAACTACACGAGCGGTTGAAGACCTTCTTCGGCATCGAGGAGGCCATCATCATGGTGAAACCCGAAGCGGAGGTCGATAAACGTGCGAAGGAGATAATGGAGAGTACCACACGAAGAGTAGGACATGCTTTCGAAACGGGTCTTCTTTGGAAACACGATGAGATCAGATTTCCAGATAGCTACAAGATGGCAGAGAAAAGACTGATCGCACTCGAGAAACGGCTAGACAGAGATCCTACACTTCGGCAGAACGTCCACGAGCAGATCGTCGCCTATTAGAAAAAGGGCTACGCGCATCGGATAACTGAGAAGGAACTGCGCTACGAATCGAGTTTGGTACCTACCCCTGGGGGTCGTGCAAAATCCCAACAAACCGGGGAAGGAACGTCTGATCTGGGATGCAGCACCGCGTTCTGGAGGTGTTTGCTTCAACTACATCCTTCTCAAAGGACCCGACCTGCTAACATCGCTAATTGCCATACTCCTCGACTTTAGACATTGCTATTTGTGGGAACATACGAGAAATGTTCCACCAGATTTTCATCCGAGACCTCGATAAGCAGTCGCAGCGGTTCCTTGGAGACTTTTCCTGACCTACTTCTGCAGATATTCGTCATGGACGTGGCAACGTTCGGCACTATCTGTTTTCCGAGTTCGGCGCAGTTTGTCAAGAACAGGAATGTAGAGGAGTTCGCGTCGGAATACCCTAGGGCAGCGTATGCTATTATCAATAGCCACTACGTCGACGACTACCTAGACAGTGTAGATACCGTAGACGAAGCGATACAATTGTGGAATGAGGTTAAGTTTGTTCACTCTCAAGGTGGATTTGAGATTCAGAATTTTATTTGCAATTCAGCCAAAGTTGTTCAACGTGTTGGAGAGAAAGATAACCCGGCGAGCAAGTCCATGAACCTGGATAAGACGGAAAACCAGCAAAGAGTTCTTGGAATGGTGTGGAGACCAAGTTCTGAGGTTTTCACCTTTGATTCCACCCTGAAGTCGGATGTTTTGAAATTGGTTTTGGAACGAGTCACTCCTACGAAACACCGCGCAGTAATGCCGGTCTTTGATTCTCTCGGCCTGATAGTGCATTTTGTCGTGCAAGGAAAGATTCTCACCGATTGCTGAGAATCTCTATTTGCAAAAATCTCAGTATTCCAATCAGTCAACGCTTCCTCTCGCTCGATTCCTCCATCGTGCTGGCCTGGCTGCACTCGGATAGCCGCCGCTATCATCCGTTCGTCGCATTTCGGGTTGGAGAGATCCTGACCCTGACGTCCGTTGATGAATGGCACCATTTGAAGTCGAAGCATAACGTGGTGGATGAAGCAACTAAATGGGGATCTGAATCATAGAGGAAACTCTAAGACCAGAAGGTCCCGAAGAAACGTGCTCAACTTTTTGGCTCAGCTCTGGTACTATCTTCGGTCCCAAGCTAATCGATGCACCCCTCGAAACATAGGAAAATCCACGAACCCCTCATTTTATCTGTCAAACTTTCATAGCGTATCAAAACAAACATAGTGTAGTACTGGAATTTATACTAGAATGGGGTACGTTAATCCGATTGCTTGGGGTCAATAGGCTAGTCAAGTAGTGAGCCAATTTAAAATCGTTAGTTTCGTATTGATTGTTGTCTGAACCCAGTTTGAATCCAGAAAGTCGTTGGTTTCACGGACCACCAATCCTGAGCCAATCCGTAGAGAACTGGCCAATAAGTAAAGAGGAGATACCCCAGTAGCAGAAGGAGCAACCAGTCATCGAGATCACCCACTTCTCGAAGTGGCGCAGATTGCTGCGTGCCACCACTTCCGTGATACGGGCCGTCAAGAAGTTCAAAGGACAACATACTACCGCCTGCCTTTCCGTAAGAGTGGTTCATCTAGAAATCGTCCCCAGTCTCATAACCAAAGAAGAATACTAAGATTAAACAGTCGGAAGAAAAACTTTCTATTTTAGTGTCCTCTTTCACGGTCCCTTTCATCCAATGAATACCCCCCGTATGCAAGGTAATTTTGTGGTTTTGCTGCCCTCTCGATAGAGATGTAATTTTGCGCTCTTTTTTATCAAAACAATCACACCAAAATCAGAGATTTCCCATTTTTTTAAATGGACAACATACTACCGATTGGCTGTCAAACGAAGAGTATCGTCAAGCTGAGAACCTGCTTTGGAGGCAGGTACAAATGGCGTGCTATCCAGATGAATATGCTGTGCTACACCACAACAAGCAAAACCCGAAGGAAGCGACAGTGCTGTGCAAGTCAAGCCAAATTTATCAGCTAACACCATACCTAGATGATGCAGAAGTGATCAGGATAAACAGCCGAATAGGGCCTGCACCTAACGCCCATTTTCAAGCTATGTATCCTATCATGCTACCGAAGAACCATGTAACACCCCTCCTTGTTGACAGCTACCACCGCCGTTTTCTGCAGGCGAAACCGTGCTCAACGAGATGCGACAGCGATTCCACATACCAGCATTGCGGAACCATATTAGGAAAGTCTCTTTGGAGTGTCAACAGTGCCGAGTCAACAAGGTGGCTCCTCGACCTCCGCTCATGGCTCCATTTCCCACTGTAC